TATATATATATATATATATATTGTAAATAATATTTATCATCTCACTGGGATATTTTTAAACTCCCCAACTTGAGAGGATGTGGTATTATGGTGTATGGAGGATTGATTGACGATGGATGAGTTTTTATGGTGAATGAGGAAATTGGGTCGTGAATCCGATTGGCTAGGTATAAGATGTGGTTCTACAGAAGGATGCTAAGGATATCATGGACCGAGCGTGTGAGCAACGATGAGACCTTACAGAGGTTGCAAACAAAGGAGGAGGCTTATACTTAACATCAGGAAGAGGCAGCTGAAGTTTCTGGGACACATAATGAAGAAGAAAGGCCTGGAGAATTTGATACTCACGGGTCGAATAGAGGGAAAGATAGACAAGGGAAAACAACGCGTGACATACCTGGCGGATTTAATCAAGTGGATGACAGACCACGTTCTGTCATCCACTTGGTGACAGACCACTGATAATGACTGTTTCGCTAAAAATTGGCCTTCAAACTTAAGACCCATTCCCCCTTTTCGGCCTTGTGCCATAATTGTATTAATTTACAATAAATCTCAACAATCTTCTAAAAAAGACAAATTCAAAAAAGTTTAGGTAATAAACTAACGCCTTCTAAGAATGAATGAAAATAAATCAAAAATGCTTTTGTCCCCTCAAGAATTGATTTTGGAATTTGTGAAACTCTGAGTAGAGATAAGGTAATAAATACTTTATTTATTATTGAGTGACAGGTCAGCACGCCAACAAAGGGAAGCTAGGATACAAATATATGAAACACAACATACCTATCATGATATCCAGTCTGATAAGGGTATACCAGGCACATTCACAGCAGCCAAATGTGCCTGATATGGTGACAGGTTTTAATAAAATAAACGAATAATTTTGCAGGTGGTAGTCAGAAATATATTCAGCTCTTGTGATGTGAATCCCAATTGGCCTTCAAACTTAAAAAAAACACCTTCCCGATTCCGAGCTGTGATATTCCACAACCCCCGACCATGAGTGCGTCTGTCCCTACGAGGACTAGGCCCGGTTAGTGTTTACCTATAGGTCGACAGATCCAAGTACGTACTAAAATATAAATACGAGCAATGTTTTCTTATAGACAACTGAAAGTTAATTCTGTGGTACTGAATGGGATATTTACTGTACTACATTATATTTCACTAAGTCAAAACATGCAGACGTTAATATCTTTAATCAATTAAGATCAGTAGTCATTAGAACGATGCCTGGTTTAAAATCAGGACATTATTATTATTATTATTATTATTATTATTATTATCATTAATAACACTTTGTCTTTCCATATTGAGCACAATAATTATAATGACTATTTCGCTAAAAAATTCCCTGGTCCATCCTTCTTTTTATGAAATAAATTTTATTATATATATATATATATATATATATATATATATATATATATATATATGTGTGTGTGTGTGTGTGTGTGTGTGTGTGTGTGTGTGTAGATAGATAGATATCCAGGTAAAATGATCGTTTACTCGCAGTTAGTTTACTGTCGCCCGAGAAGGCACATTTGTAGTGTTGAAACATACTTGTAATTGTGTAGAGATTTTTGACATGTTTTTGTTTTAATATCTTAAAATAAATATATTCACGATTTCGATTAATCTTAATATCCATCAATTTCTAAAGAATTATTTTATGACTTTTAGTGGATACACGTGCTTGAGTAGAACGACCCTTTTTTTCTTTTTTTTTTAAGCTGCGCATTCGAAAAAAAAGACTTCATAAATAAAATGTGCCCCTCCACCAGGATTCTAAGCAGCGTTCCCCCTTGTAGGAGAAACCATCGTCTTATCCAAAGTGCTTTAGACCGCCCGGCTACGGAGAACTTCACAGCCCAGGAAAGACATATTTGCCTTAATGTTCATCTCCCTCCTTTTCTTCTAAGCCATGTCTGCACATTTTCGTAATCGAAACGGATACAAAGCAATTTCTATAGAACTAGTGGATTTTTTTAAAATTTTTAATCCAACAAATTTTATTACTGTTTTAAAGACGAGGTGTTCTACTCAAAAACGGGTATCCACTAAAAATAACGCTTAAAATAATAATAATAATAATAATAGTCGACTCTCCCGCCGAATTCGACGTACGAGGGTCAAGCAGATCAGTTCCCAGGAAACCGACAGCCCGACAACAGCACATGAGATTTGATTATAGTGGTGAAGGTTTCGTGCAGGACCATCCAGACTTTTTGAAGGGCCGAATACAGAGACCTGATGCACTAAGTGCCACAGGGTCCCCAAACGACCTTCCGCAGGTTTTGAATTCAGAGTTTTCCTTCTCTTAGGAGGCACGGTGGAGTAATGTATAGCGGCACTGATTAAGGAATCGCAGAACCGAGTTCGAATTTCAGTCGAATCCATTACATTCACTTACGTGCTAATACCCTTGGGAAAGGTGCGTATCCTCTTCTTCTCCCTCCAGCTTTTGGTAAATAGCAGGGCAGACTGGATTCTATAGCCTTGGATGGCAACTGGTATATATATATATATATATATATATATATTGCGTATATTTTAGCTGCATATTTTCATTAAGATACGTCTCATTAAATAATTTACATAAGTTTTGTCTACTTATTTTTAATAGGATCTTCTCGTCATAACCTACAAGTTTCTTAGTCGCCTTATTAAAGGAAGAAAGAAATTACCATGTTGATGTATATTCAGTTTATTCAAAGTACTTCGACATTAGCACAATGTCGTCGTCAGGGTCTTGTTTTTCTAAGACAAAAAATTGTTCTGTTGATTTTTGTCTTAGAAAAAACAAAAACCTGATGACGACATCATATATGATATATATATATATATATATATATATATATATATATATATATATATATATATATATATATATATATAAATGTTTCATTAAAAACGACAGACAAGACTATGTTTAAGCTTTTTATTTAATTTTTCTTGTGTTCGAACAAGAACTATCTTTTCTGGACAAAGGGTGTGTAAGAACTGTCCAAATGTTTTATATTTCCGAGCGCTTTCGGCTATACCTTTAGCCATTATCAAGGATGATTCGATTTTTCAGCTTAATTGAGTGCGCGCATTATGTGTATGTTTTAGTGTGTTGTAGGGATGTTATAATTTCCGAATACGGTTAGCACATTGTGGCTTTGTTCGTAGCTAATATTGTTAAGAGTTGGCTTTTCCTTTTTTATTATTAAAGCTTCCATTATTTTTAATCTTTTTTTTTTACAGGTGGATGCAGTTAATGTATTTGTGTTTTCTACTAGTTCTTACACACTCTTTGTCCAGAAAAGAAAGCTCTCGTTCGAACACAAGAAAAATTAAATAAAAAGCTTAGTACCTTGTCTGTCGTTTTTAATGAAACATGCATAAACGAAGGATTGCTGCCTAATTATATATATATATATATATATATATATATATATATATATATATTTATATATGCTTTTATATTTGATATATATATATATATTTGATATATATATATATATATATATATATATATATGCTTTTATATTTGATATATATATATATATATATATATATATATATATATATATATATGGCTTATCATTTGGCTTAGATACTTGAGTATGTACCACTGTCATTCTAACCCAGATAAAAGACAAGGTTTTTGATGCTGATTTTCAAAGCACGCAAGAATATCATATTCTGAATCCTTCTCTCTCTCTCTCTCTCTCGCTCTCACTCTCTCTCCCTTGATTTTCTCCTTTCTTCTTCTTCTTCTTCTTCTTCTTCTTCTTCTTCTTGAACTCTTTGCCCCTTTCCTCGTTCTGCTCTCCTCTTGTTTTTTTTTCTCTCTCGTTTTTCTCCTCATTTAACTTCTCATGATCTCTCACAATCAACAATCCAGACGCCTGACACTATGCCGACGGCCACACCCTATTCCCGTGACCGAATCTCCAGGTTTCGGCACACCCGGATCACGTGACTCAGCATCATCATCATCGTAATTTTTTTTTTTTTTTACCTTTTTCAAAATGTCTTCATTAATTATCTTCTCTCTGGTCTGTTCTTAGCCCTTTAAGGCATGTTAATCTGAACCAATGCTCATAGCAATAAGGTCATTACTTCCTTTCATCTCTCTCTCTCTCTCTCTCTCTCTCTCTCTCTCTCGCTTTCTCTTTCAGGCTCTATTTGTTTATTTCTCCCTAAAATACTTACAATACCCCAGAGTACTCACATACACGCAGGTTTACAAGCATTTTCAAGAACGAGTACATCTCATGTAAGTCGAATACAGACACACTTAATCACGCGTCCCATATACTGAAAACCTTTTTCAATAATAGAATTATGCATTGGCTATGAGACATTTTAAAACATTTTTAATGAAAGGGACACAACAATATTCTAATATTTATTGCCGTCATCTTTTTTTATCAGACATAGTGATATTTCAGATAATTAAGTCATAAATTAAGGTGTGTCAAAAGTAGTTCATTTTCTTACAGACCTTTAGAGCAAAGCTTAATTCATCTATGATTCCACTATCTACCTATTCAAATTAATGATTTTAGCTATCTATTCGTATCAATAACTTTATTTGTCGATCTATCTATCTATCTATCTATCTATCTATCTATCTATCTATCTATCTATCTATCTCAATGACTTTTTCAATTTATGTATTCATATCAATGAATTTATTCAAATCAATGACATTATCTATCTATCTATCTATCTATCTATCTATCTATCTATATATATATATATATATATATATATATATATATATGTATATATATAACTATTCATATCATTGACTTTATCCGTCGGGCGATTTATCTGTCTATGTCAATGACTATCTATCTATCTATCTATCTATCTATCTATCTATCTATCTATCACAATGACTTTATCAATCTATATATTCATATATGACTTTATTCATATCAATGACATTATCTATCTATCTATCTATCTATCTATCTATCTATCTATCTATCTATCTTTGCTTACGGCCATATCACGTTGAAACACCGTTCACGTACAATCATCAAAGTTAAACGACGTCGTGTCTGATCAGTAGCTTGATGAGTAACCACCTGGGAATACCAGGTGTTGTAAGCTTTGATGTGCGGCCGGTATAATGGATAACATTTGAGAATTGGCAATTGGACAGCTGACTTCCAATTCTAGTTGGGTTCGTTATATTAACTTAGGCGCAAATACACTGGGAAAAGTTATGAGTCCATCTCTTCTCCCCCAGCTATGAGTTAATTAGTGGCATTTCTATCAGTAAAAATCATTATCTTTCAAATTCTTAATCTAAAAATATGAAAAATATTATCTGTCTGCAATTAACCTGCAAAAGGTTGATACGCCGAAAAAAATAAATCTGTCAATCAAATATATATATATATATATATATATATATATATATATATATATATATATATATATATATATATATCCGAATGTAATGAGAACGAAAAAAAAGTATATAAATTGTAACGTTAAAAAGGTAGTGACGTGCGGTCTGCTTACAAACATAATAATTTTGGTTCTCACCAGTCGAGGTGCAACTAAGTCCACCGAAACGGAGTTGCATCTTTGTAGTGAGTAAATTCTTTTTGTCTACATGAAAAATTATAAATAATAATAATAATTATTATATATATATATATATATATATATATATATATATATATACCGGTGTACACCATAATTGTTCAAATCATGTAACACCAAGATTGTCCAATTGTTAGATTAAGCTTGGAACCGTTATAACTTAGAAATGATTAGTGATATCTTACTGGAATTCTCCCAGGTTTTTATGACACTATTTATGACTCTACTTTAAGCAATAAGTATGTCTTTAGCTTTAAGTTTAAATGATGATTCCTCTTTCTGTTGTGACAATTTTCCTTTCTACTGTTCCCTCTTTTTATAAACTTATTCACCGTTCTCTTGATGGTTTTTGAATAGACTTTGAAGATGGAAACCAGTGTATGAATGTTCGTACCATTACTGGAGGCCTGAATCATCTTTCCCCTCTTTTTTCCTGGATGGCTCAACAGGGATTATAAGAAGTTGCATAAAGACAAAATTTATTAAGACCTACAAAAGGCAGGAAGTTCTGGAGAGCCATGACCACCAAAGTCCTGAAAAAACATGGCACATAGAAAAAGTCCAGTCGTTTACTGCTCTTACCAGTATTGATGATTTTTTTTTCTCTTTGCCTTTTTTTTTGGAGGGAAAGTGAAAAGTTAGCATCTTGATTATGTCATTATTTTCTTTTCGAATTATACGTGCTTTTTTGTGAAACAAAGATTCGGTTTCAGAAAATGACGAAAGCAGAAAGAAAAGAAGTATAATCGCCATCAATCATGGTAGAGAAGATAACATTTTTAAGGCAAGCAGTTTGTGTCCTTAGAATGCTCATTATCAATCAATAGGCCATTAATGTCAAATTAGATTGCGTCATACAATAATGCATTTCAGAAAAAATAATTATAAAAATAATTTAAAATTGCTCGCACTTATATCAGTCAGGCAAGATACATGTAAATAAGTTCCACTCAAACACTTTCTTCCTACGAACCACTGTTCTGTGGAACCAACTCCCAAGTATATGGCGTCCTGGGTATGACGATAAACTACACCCGACAGCAAGGCTTCTGTTCAGGAGGTTTTGAGGTCTGTAGAACCACCTTTTAATTGCTGGTGTTCCAAGGTTCACCCTGACCTGGGGTGGTAGCACCTGTTAGGGTCCCAGATATGGGCAAATAGTTAGCCCACAAAGTGGGGTCAAAACACTATGAAAGAGTAAAAATAGGTTTTAATACCAGCAATACATTTTTGTAAAAAAATATTACCAACAATATATTTTTGGAGAAAAAATATTACCGATAATACATTTTTGAAGGAAAAAAAAATTACCAGCAATACATTTTTGAAAAAAAAAATATTACCAGCAATACATTTTTGAAGGAAAAAAATATTACCAGCAATACATTTTTGAAAATAAATATTACCAGCAATACATTTTTGAAAAAAATATTACCAGCAATAAAAATCTTGTCGGCATTAAGTAACCGATTAAAGTTGATATGCCGTAAAAGAAACCAAACCAAACCAAACCAAACCAAACCAAAACCAAGAGAATATTTTCCCCGATCATCACAATATTAACATGTTCAAGTCTAGGGTTAACTGCTTATCTTCCCCTCCTATCCACATAAACTACTTCCTTACTGCAACCTTCTACTTCGAGTAGCCTCCGTGCCTTATACAGGGTGAATCTCACATTAAAAAATAAAAAAATATATATATGAGGGTAAAGCAAAAAATCTCCGCCCTTTCGCCATTAGATATCTTTAGATAAGTGTTCGAGCAATTAATGACTTTCCTTCGTATATATCTTTATGTAATTGTTTTTGGTTAATTCTGACGTTCTCACATTTATTGGAAACAATTTCAAAGCAACTTGATGACATTTATTTGCGAATTAGTTCTTTTATTTACTGTTAAAATAAAACAACTAATTCAGATATATATATACACACACACATACACATATATATGTATAAATATATATATATATATATATATATATATATATATATATATATATATATATATATATATATATATATATATGCAATTATATGTATACTGCAATTTAAAAGTTTGAGGCAACGCCCAGAATTAGCATGGGATGAACTTGACAGAAGAAAAAAAAAAAAAAAAAAAATGAAAAAAAGATCTTAGAGTCATTGAAAAAAAAAATGGAATCTATTATCAAAATTATGCTTTGAGAAACTTTTGCAACAAATGTCAAAAATTTGTGCTGCAGTAATGACGGCTAAAGGAGGATATTTTGACGAGAGCAAAATCTAATTATCAAATGATTTTTTTTGTCCTAAGAAAATTTCTAATAAAAATCATGTCTCACTTTTTTAAACCATGTCCAATAATTTTCTCTTATTTAAAGTACAAAACAACTACTTTTTAGGTAAAATTAAAAACTTACCTGGATTCCCTAAAACTTTTGAACCGTAGTGTGTGTGTATATATATATATATATATATATATATATATATATATAATCAGTAAAATTTATCTGTACTATTTGTTGTATATGTTATAATGACAGATGTTAAGATTTCGAAAAATCCGAGACATTTCGTGGAATAGAATTGTGGAAAAACGGAAGATATAGTATTTCTACAAATGTAACAAATTTATTTAAGTTTTAAAATGATGTTTAGGCGTAACAAGTCTGCTTCCTGATAATCTGAGAAATGTTTTGTTGGCAGCGATACGGTGATTTTGCAGCCAGTTGAAGATTAGGATTAAATTACTATGATGGAAGAAAGAGATACAGGCTTGAAACCTGTCGGTAGCTACATTTTTCTTTAGTGGGACTTCTCGTTCAAGGCTGGTTGATATTAATTTCAATTTATAAGAAAGTAAAATAAAACAGCAATGCCAACTCGAGTACGTGTATTCAATAAAAATAGCGTTTATAGCGGATATGCAATATAATTGGCCCTGTTCTGGCATCTCGTCTACAGTCGCTCTCTCACAAGCGCGCCGTCGCCTCTGTCTTTTTTACAAATACTTTCATGGTAATTGCTCTGATGAGCTGCTTTCTCTGGTTCCAAGACTTCATGAATTCAAGCGCCTTACGAGGCTGGCATCCCGCTCTCACCCTTTCACTGTCGAAACTACTAAATGTAGCCGTCTCTTCTACTCCAATAGCTTCATATCTCGCACCTCTCGCCTGTGGAACTCCCTTCCCTATTCCAGTTTCCCTGAGAGTTATAATCTCCAACTATTCAAGTGTAATGTCAATCAACATCTCCAATTGCCTTTATCTATCCACTATCCTTCTCCTCATCCTTTCCTCTATCACTCCTATCTGATCTTGCTCCAAATCTTCTGTAACCCCTTGCGTCCTAGTGGCTTCTCGCCTTGATTGGGGTGAAACGCTTAAAAAAAAAAATAAAAATAAAAAAACTAAGAAATACTGTCCGTTAAAAAAAAATCCATTTAAAAATTATGATTCGAGAAACAAAGATGGAGTTTAAAATTTGAAAGCCATTGTTTGCACGAAGATATATACGGAAAAGAATTTAATTTGTCTCTTTAGTTCATTCTGTCATTGTGGGGCAATGGTTAAAGAAGTAATTAAAATGCATATCGATTAACGAAAAATAAATCAAGCCAATTTGTTAGCTTCCTCAAGCTTGTAAAATTTCTGCGTCTAATATCAACCGCATTTCTGTTATTACTCAGCAGTAAAAACTGTCTGTTTGTCTGCTCATCTCTCTCTCTCTCTCTCTCTCTCTCTCTCTCTCTCTCTCTCTCTAAATACATTAATAGAACCATTTCCTTTGTTTCTTACATACGTTTCACATAGCCGCTTATATATATAGACGGGTAAATGCACGCATGCGCGTTAAATTCGAGTTATCTTTTAAACCGTACAAGTGGATTCTTTTAGCATTCTACTCAATCGACATTGTTATAAAATATGACCTGAGTGCGGAGATATATGGTAGAGATTCTCATTAATCATGTGATCAATCAATCGTCCAATCAACGGATACTTGGTGATAATCTAATCTCGCTCAAAAATAAAATAGTTCTTCTGTGTCTGCTAGAGGTCATTTGTTTTCTTTTTATCAGTTTTAGTGGAGTTTTTTTTTTCGGATCGTTTTTTTTCTGTTTTCATTCAATCTAATATTCATTCTTTTTTAAACCTTTTTTTTCTTCAATTTATGACCTTTTTTCTTTTATTCCTTCATTTATTCATTAATTCTTAGTACATATATTTTTAATTTATGACCTTTTTCTTTCATTCCTTCATTTATTCGTTCCTTCTTAGTACATATTTTTTCAATTTATGACCTTATTTTTCTTCCATTCCTTCATTTATTCATTCATTCTTTGTTTATACTTTTTTTTAATTTATGATCAGCATTTAAAAAAGAAACATGTCAAAACTTTCACTTTCACTTTCACTTTCAATGAGGCGACTGGCTACTTGGAAATACGTAGAAGGTCACGAGAATCAGTTCATAGGTAAAGTCCTGACAAGCGGAGTCTCCACCATCACAA